TACCTCACTGTTATTTTGATTTATATTATTTATGTATGTGGCTATAATGTATGATTTCTGCCTATACCTTCATTACTAGCATAAGGTCAGTCACATAGACGGGCTCAGTGTCAGAGGGCTAGCAAAGCCAGGATTTACTTTATAGCCTTTATGATGGAAGGAAGGAGCTGGAATGGATGTGGAAGCCTCATTTCTTTTTCTTTTTGACTTTTGGGTTTTATGTTGTCCTCTTCGCTCAGATTAAAATTTCACCCATGATTTAAAAAAAAACTTTTTATTATAAAAGCATATACAAAGGTAGGGAGAATAGAATAATGGACTTTCATGTATCTATCCTACAGCTTAACATTATTAAATTCTATATTTTTGTTTCATCTATCCATACTTAATTATTTTTCTGAAGTTTTCTAAAAAAAAAACAACTCATGTATCGTATTATTTTACTCATGAATATTTAGTTTCTCGAACAAGGATTTTTTATTGATGTATATCATGTATACCTTAAAATTTATGGCTCAACTAATTTTCACAAAGTGAAAACACATAACTACATCTCATGTCAAGAAATAGAACATTAGGGATGCCTGGGTGGCTCAGTCGTTAAGCGTCTGCCTTCAGCTCAGGTCATAATCCCAGGGTCCTGAGATCGAGTCCCACATCGAGCTCCTTGCTCAGTGAGGAGCCTGCTTCTCCCTCTCCCTCTACTGCTCCCCCTGCTTGTGCTCTCTCTCTCTCTCTCTCTCTGACAAATAAATAAATAAATAAAAATTAAAAAAAAGAAGGAAATAGAACATTACCAATACTTCAGAAGCCCCTTTTTTTCCTTTCCAGATTACTGCTGTAGGTGAAGAAAAGGTTTTCCTCGACCCTCTTAGGGACCCTAAACTTACAAAGGCAGATTAACAGGAGAAATGCATACACATTTATTTAATATAAGTTTTACATAAGAACCTTCATCAGGAAGTAAAGACCCTCCCCCCTCCCAAAAAAAACAGAGCTGTGTGTTTTTATGCTAGGTTTGATGACAAGTGGGCAGTTATGGGGGAGTGGGATAGGTTAGAGTGTGAGGTAATTCCAGTAAACTGGGGAAACTTAGCAAGGCCTGTTTGTTAGGATTCTTTCTGGCATCTCTTTGTCTTCCAAGATAAGGATGAGTCTTTCCTCTGGGTATATAGGGAGGGCACCTCTCACATGAGTTTTATGACTTGTTTCAGAGAAGAAGGGGGAATGATGAGGAGGGGAGGTCAGAGTGACCCTCCTGCTCTGTCTTTTCTCAAACTCTTTCAGCTTAAAATATTCAGCATGCCAAGATGCCATCTTTGGGGATGGTGTGTCCTAAACCCCACCACTACCCCAACCCCGTAGCTAACCACTATCAGCTTCATTGTGTTTTGCCTGTTTTTGAACTTTACAGACATAGAATTACATTACAAACTTTATATCTGTAAATAGTATATTGTTTGGCATCTGGCTTACTTCACTCAACATCATGCTTCTAAGATTCAACATGTCTCCAATAGCAGCAGTCGGTGCTCATCACTACGGAGTATTTCTTTTAGTTTTAGGATTTTTGAAGAAAGTCAGAGTGCAAGGCTGAAGGATGCTACCTTGTAAACCATCAGTTTTTATTCTCTTCTCATCCTTTCTCCTACCAAATACTTGCCAGGACTGTGAAGAATAGATCAAGATACATAAAGCTGGAAGGATCGAGGAAATAATCAGCCTCTTAACAACGGAGATTTTATGTAGGTCGCTATGAGCTAACTTGAAAAAATAGTGCTGCTGAGTGGTGAAGAATAAATGCTCTTCTAATCAGAGAGAGATGCCAATTCCTTCTGGGCACCATTCACATGGATGAGTTTGCTTTGGTGCCCTCCAGCTTGGAATGTCTACTGGTTTTCCTCCTTGCACTCCTGACACATTGAGGGGAAGGTGGGTGGGGCTGTGCACACACTCGTTCAGGGACCTTAGACAAGCCCAACGCCGATGTATTACAGCAGGTGGCAGCCTTTCCCCAGGAGAGGGAAGAGCTAGGCTTCCCTATGGAAATTTCATTTTGGTTTTATAGCTTTTCTTTGATATGAGGGTCAGGTGATTTATCTAGAACCTGAAGTTCAGATTGGCTTTATAATAGAGAAGAGATGCAGGGACCCTGGAACCTGGAAAAGACGTTGTGAGCTCACCTCTGGGCGAGCCACTGGCTTTGAGTTAGTCAGTGGCTGCCCTCTGGGAGCCAACTCAAGTTCTGACTCAACACCAGGGATGGGAGAAGGCTGTCAGCCTGAGGCCCAGAAGGGGGCTATGAGCCAGAGTCCACTGGGAAGCACAGAACTGACCCAACGACACAGAATCAGAGCAGGTCAAGAATCACCCTGCTGTGGACTGTGAGGGAGAGTAGTTGACAGCAGAGATACCCCCTTTTCATTCCAGATCTGTAAAGCAGCTATTCATTCATTCCTTCATGTTATTTTTTAATTTTTTTAAAGATTTTATTTATTTGACAGAGAGAGGTGCAGCAAGAGAGGGAACACAAGCAGAGGGAGTGGGAGAGGGGGAAGCAGGCTCCCCGCAGAGCAGGGAGCCCGAAACGGGGCTCGATCCCAGGACCCTGGGATCATGACTTGAGCAGAAGGCAGACGCCTAACGACTGAGCCACCCAGGCACCCCCATTCCTTCATTTTAAAGAAAGCTCTATGCTCAGCGTGGGGCTTGATGAAACAGCCTTTTAAACTAAACTGCCAATTTTTTTTTTTTTTAAAGTTATTGAGTTCTTCTTATGCAAGTTTACAAAACGCATATGGCAGGGCACCTGGGTGGCTCAGTTAGTTGGGCATTGGAATTTTGATTTTAGCCTGGGTTGTGGTCTTGGGGCTGGTGGGATTGGCCTGCCTCAGGCTCTGAGCTTGGCAGGGAATCTGCTTCTCTCTCTCTCCTTTTGCCCCTCCCCTCCACCCATGCTCTCGCTCTAAAATAAATAAATAACTCTTTAAAACAAAAACAAAAACAAAAAACCCAAAGTGCTTATAGAAAGCCAGACTTGGTGGAGAAGCTCGACACTGGAAATATATCCAGTTTGTTTTTACTTTTTTAACTGTAATTTATCTATCAAAAACGTACCATGTAGAAAATGACGTTATTCAAAACTTAATGTGAATGGGGAGATATATACCTAACTAAAGGCAATTGAAGTGATCAGACAGGAGTAGGAACACATAGAAATCATGAGACTAGCTGTGACTATTTAAATTAATTAAAACTAAATAAAATTAAAACTAAAAATTCAACCCCTCAGTTGCACTAGCCACATTTCAAGGGCTCAACAGCTACGTTTAGCTGATGGCTACCATACTGGCCAGCACAGATTATGGGCCATTTCTATGATCGCAGAAAGTTCTACCAAACAGCACTGGACTAGAGTCAAAAACCAGGGAGTGGGGCGCTTGGGTGGCTCAGTCGGTTAATCGGCTGACTTCAGCTCAGGTCATGATCCCAGGGTCTTGGGATCGAGCCCGCATCAGGCTCCCTGCTCAGTGGGAGGCCTGCTTCTCCCTCTTCCACTCCCCCTGCTTGTGTTCTCTCTCTTGCTGTGTCTCTCTGTCAAATAAATAAATAAAATCTTAAAAAAAAAAAAAAACAAAAAAACGAGGAGTGCTGCCAAAGGAAAATGTGGGTGGTTAAAAACAAACCCTCCCTGTAATACTAGGTATTGTGATAATAATTCCAAAGTGTGGCAGGAGTTTCAAATAGAGCATTTCATATAATCCCCATGGCAATCCACAACCACAATAATGCTACTGACATTTGTTAAAATCTTAGAGCGGGCCAGGCACTAAGGACTCTGTTGTCAGCTCACTGGTCTTTACAAGAACCCGGTGAGGTTGGTATTCTTGTCCCTATTTAACAGATGAAGAAACTGTGGCAAAGGGCCTTTGTAACTTGCCCACTGTTACCTGGCTTGTAAGGAATAGCTGGGATTCAAACTCAACTTTTTCTGGATTGTAATAATTAGAAAGAAGGCGTGGAAAGTACCTAACATACTCCATACGTGAGTAAAATTTGCCTTTAAGCCACTTTCTCCTAAGGCAGGTCTAACTCTTGGATTCTGTCACATAATTGTCTTTCTGGCTTAAGAAGGCGCTATGCCAGTTCTGATAGAGAAACAATGATACCCTGTTAGCCAGGATATGAGCCACTTCCTTCCCTCCAGAGCAAAATCTGCTGTCTGCACAAAGGAAATTGGTTTCTCAGAAGCTCACCTTTGTAGAAACAAGTCTATTTGGGTGAAAATTTTGAAGTAAAATATTCTTAAGACAAAAATGAATACTAGCAGTATATATGGGAAAATGCTATTTTCTGTAGGTGGTGAGATTATGAAAAATTGTCTCGTTTTGTTCAGCTGTATTTTGCAACTTTTCTACATGAATATGTGTGATAAAATTTAAAAAAAAATCCTAAAGCCAGATACTGGCTTTTGAAAAACCAGTCAGATACTGTATCGTAAAAATCGTTCCTTGATTAACAATATTTCAGGCTGTTTATTTTTAAAATTTGTTATTTTTTTAAAGATTTTATTTATTTATTTGACAGAGAGAGTGAGAGAGGGAACACAAGCAGGGGGAGTGCGAGAGGGAGAGGGAGAGGGAGAAGCAGGCTTCCCGCCGAGCAGGGAGCCCGACATGGGGCTCGACTGACCCAGCCGAAGGCGGTCGCTTAACTGACTGAGCCACCCAGGTGCCCGTTTGTTTATTTTTAAGTACTCTCTACCCCCAACCTGGGCCTTGAACTTACAACAGCAAGATCAAAAGTCCCATGCTCCACATCAGTTGAACCAGCCAGGCACCCCATTAGGCTTCTGATAATATAGCAAATACTTTAATACTAATAGCCAATAGAAACCTTTTGGTTGAATGCTAAATACTTGAATCAATAGCAGAGGCAGTGTGGCATTTAACTGTAAGGTTAAAAAGGGCAGTAAACAATGTACAGGTACTCACAGCCGCTCTGCAGGTGGGGACTCGTTGTTTTGTATTCCAGGGCCCTGTAGATGGCTGCCTTATGTCCTCCAGTTCAAGACGAAGCAATAGTCTAGGCAATAAAACAAGAAAAGTCTATAAATCACACTAAAGCTTTTATCATCCTTGGCATCAAATAGTCTCTAAACATGAATAAGTTTGGTGTGAAGAAAGCATGAGAAAGAGGAGCTTTCCAAGCTATGGTATAGATGTTTGTCCTTCTCAGGTGGGACTCCTTATGCCGAAACGTTGTTACTGAGTATGTTGCAGGGGAGGCAGAAAAGAAAGAAGCTGAGGTCATTAATTGTTAAGGTTCTTTTCTCCTATAATGTTCTAAGAATTTGTGATAGTTTTACTTTAGTAGTATATCGATATATAGTTTTAAAAAGTTATATTCATTCACGCGTACATACATTTTAGAGTTTTCTTTAAACTTGGCTTGCTGCTGAAGGCTATCTTGATGTACTTTCAGTGAAAGCTGCAGGTGAGTCTACTGTCTCACCTGTCTATAGCCAAATAAAATGGTAGGCAAAAAAAGTTTTCAAATAACTAAGTATCCTGATGGAATACATTTTATAGACTTATTCCTTCTAATGGCAAAGAAAGGGGCTCAGAGATAACTCAGAGGCAGGATCAAGTGCTGGTGTAACACTAAAGAATCAAGAATTCACTCCTCATTCCCTCACTTCCCCACCCCTCAGGATTTTACTGGAAAGCAGAATCTGCTAACTTTAGAGTGTCATTTAAGTTAGGTGGCTACAATTTTAAAGCTAACCAAAAAGCCACACACACACACACACAAAACCCAACAAAACCCAAAACAAAAGACACGTGAATTCCCAGCAACCCACTGTCTAGGCAGGCAGTTGAAAATGAGAAAGAATGAACTGAAAAAGGGCAAACTGATTGATTCTGCAGGTGGTGTATGCAGTCCTCAGAAACAGAGAAATACTCAGGCTCGTTCGCTCTCGTTCCCTTCAAGAGGACAGACCTGGCAGGTTTAAAAAGGTTCAGGAGACTGAGTAGCTTGGTCAAGCAAAGAATTTTGTCAAAACATCAACAGAACCAGGGCTGTTTCCTGTTTGATTGCAGGCATTTTGAAGCAAACAGAATCCTGAAGTCAATTCACTTTAAAAAATTTTATAGACACACAGGCATATATGTATATGAATTTTTTTGGTGCCTGCTGATGCCACATTTCCCCCCTTTGCCAACTGAATTGTCTTTGCAGATGTCTGGGAGCTACCTGTTTGTCTCCTCTATTCTGTTTTTCATAGTTAAATAACATCTCAAATAATTTTTCTCTTTGCTGGATGGAAATAACCAAGTCGGGTCACTGATTTGCTACTACAGCACGTTCATTATGGGTTTTGCACTGTGCTTCTAGTTTCATAAATAAGGCTGCATTTAGGCTTTGGTTTCTAGAATTCAGTTTACAGGTGCATCCTCCACACTGTTCTCACCCACTGGCTTTTCAGAAATGTCTGCTTTTTTTTTTCTTTCAAGATTTTGTTTATTTATTTGAGAGAGAGAATGAGATAGAGAGAGCATGAGAGGGGGGAGGGTCAGAGGGAGAAGTAGACTCTCTGCTGAGCAGGGAGCCCGATGCAGGACTCGATCCTGGGACTCCAGGATTATGACCTGAGCTGAAGGTAGTCGCCCAACCAACTGAGCCACCCAGGTGCCCCAGGGATGTCTGCTTTGCTCAAATGTGCCCTGAGACCTGGGAAGCCTGGCTAGATGGATAAGCTACTCACACAGCTGTTTACATGGATTACCTAAAAAAGCAAACATCACATCTCATTGCAAAATGAAAGAACTTCAAGAAATATAGGATTTAGATTCTTTTTTTTTCTTTTGGACTTTGCAAAGACTTGAGTTAATTACCCTCTGGAGCTCATGGTACACAATAATCCATGGGAGGCCTTTTCTTGTTTTACTTTATTATTTTCTTGTTTTAGTTTTTCATTTCCCCACTTCATCTCCAGCATCAGCAGCCATTCTGTGCTTGGAAATACATGTATCCCCAAGTTGGATTTTATAATGCTGTTTTATGAATGTATGTGTATTCAGTCTGTATTGTTCAATGGCTCTTATTCTGTTTATTGCTTTTTTTCTGGGGGGGGTGCGGAAAGAGAGGGAGAGAGAGAATCTTAAGCAGGCTCCATGCACAGCAGGGAACCCGACGTGGGGCTCGATCTCACTGCCCTAAGATCATGACCTGACCGGAAATCAAGAGTTGGACACTTAACCAGCTGAGCCACCCAGGTGCCCGTGTTTATTGCTTTTTTTTACACAACGCTGTTTCTAAGTTCTTTCCATGTTCCTTTATGCGCATGTAGCTAATTTCTTTGAACTGCTGCATAAGGTTCCATATTAGGTGTTCAATACTTTTAACACATCCACTCCTCTAGTGATAGATACCCAGACTGCCTCCAACTCCTTTGTATCACAAACAACCCTGTGATAAACACCTTTATACACGTCTCCTAATGAACCTGACTGAAGAGGGATTCCCGAGTCATCCATTGCATGTGCACATGTATGCAAGCACGTGTGCACAGAGAATGCTCATATCTAATTACAGTCATGCCGGCAGCACATGAAGGTTCTTGCTTCCCCACATCTTTGCCAAGATGGCCAAGTCATTGTCCGACTTTCTAATTTTTACAAATCTGTTGGGTGTGAGAGTAATTAGTCTTAATATGCAGTTCTCTGTTTACTTGTAACATTGAACTTCTCTTCAATTCTTCCGGGTCATTTGGCTTTCCACTTCTGAGAACTGGCTATTCATGGGCTCTGTTGATGTTTTGACAAAATTCTTTGCTTGACCAAACTACTCAGTCTACTGAACCTTCTCCTAGGCCCATTATATGCACTTCCTCGTAAAATCCAGTTTTAGCAAGGCTCCCCCCGCCCCCCCATATCTGATCAGGTTCCTCATCCTCCACTGCCCCCAGGTGATGTCTGTCTCCCTGGCCTGCCTTCAGCAAGAATCTTGGGATCTGGGGTTAGCAAGATGCCCCCTTACCCCCGACGTTTCCTCTTAGCAATTTTCCACCCCCTGACCCCACCCCCCTCCTGGGCTACAAATTCCCACTTGGCCATGCTGTATTCCGAGTTGAGCCCAATTCTCCCTACTGTACAACCCCACTGCAGTCGTCCTCAGTACAGTCTGCCTTACTGTTTTTAACAAGTGTCACTGAGTACTTTTCTTTTTTAACAGTTTCTATTGGGTACTTTATTTGATTTGCCAGAGCTCCTTATATATGCTAGGTTTAAAAAGTTTTTATTTAAATTCCAGTTGGTTAACAGTGTAATAGTAGTTTTAGGTGTACAATATAGTGATTCAGCACCTCCATACAACACATGGTACTCATCACAGGTGCACTCCATAATCCCCATCACCTGTTTAACCCACCCCCCACCCACCTTCCCCTCTGGTTGCCATCAATTTGTTCTCTAGAGTTAAGAATCTGTTTCTTGGTCTGCCTCTCCCTTCCCCTTTGCTCATTTGTTTTGTTTCTTAAATTCCACATATGGGTGAAATAATATATATGCTGGGTTTTAATTCTGTTGGTTTGAAATATCTCCTAAATATTTTCTTTCTGTCTGTCCTCTGTCTGCATAAGCTTGTCTACAACAGCCTTCGCTGAACAGAAATCCTTAATTTTGGTGTGGCCAAACCTGCCAAAATTTTGTGTTATGGCTTGTGCTTTTTGGGTCTGATTTACAGAGTTCTTTCCATCCCAAAGTCTCAAATATATTCTACATGTTCTTCTATTAGCGTTATCATTTTATAGATTTCTAAGGGGTCACAAGTTACTTAAGAACGTGTGGTTATTATTATAGAGTACCCCTAACTTTGGGTAACATAGTACTGGACGCCTGGTAGGAGCTTACCAAAGAAAGACTTTTCTATCTCCATCTTTTCTATCTCCATCTCAAGTCCTGCCTCTCTGGTGGTTAACCGAACGGTTGCTCTGGTGCAGACTAGACAGCCCCTTCTGCTCTGGGCACCGGTGAGGCTGCTGCATGCCCTCTATCTCCCTTGTCCTGGCCACCATCACCTCATGCCGGGACTTGTGTGGCAGTTTCCTAACTGACCTCCTTGCTTGTAGGCTGGGCTTTTTCCTAGCCACTCTCAGCCCTCTTGTCAGAGTGACGGAGCTTAGTAAGTACCCAGTGAATGCTGGCTGTCATTACTATTACTATCATCATCGTGATTATTACAGAGTTTGGCACTTAAGAAAATAGTCATAAGTGAGAAACATGTTCAGCAGCGATGGCATGTGCGGTACCCAGTTAAGTGCTATCCAGAAAACCCGTGTTGCTTCAACCATGGTTTTTACCAATCTTTTTGCTTTACCAAGTTCAGACTAACAGCCTGTCTTTGCTCATTCTGTATCTGTTATGGTCCCAAGATCAGCATCCTGAACATATATCCCTGCTGTACAAAATATGAGTAGCTGGAGATTAATCTCTGCAGGTTCTAGAAAATATCTTGAAAATTTTTTTTAATTCAGCCTCCGATTTGCTTTTTTTTTCATAGAAATCAAGTGTACTGTATCAAACTCCAGTTAGATGACAGAAACCATACAATAACTGGGACAGGGAAAGTTTAATATAAATTATATTAACTAAAAATGGGATTAACTACTATGGAGTAAAGAGGAGTCTAAAGAATGCAGGGATAGTGGGTATGGGGAGCTGTTGATGCTTTTAGGGCACTGTTACCTAACTCTTTATTTCATTATTGCTCCCTTAGGGAGATTTTCTAGACTTTTTTTTTCCTTTGTGCCTCCCTTCCATTAAATTTTAATACTGCAGATACACTGTATCTGCACACACCATGGTAATACCTGAGATTATTTCACACAACCCCCCCCCCCCAGAAGCACTTTTCACCCCCCGCCCCCTAAGGATGCCTGCTCTGGGGCTAGGGCTGCAGGCCCAAGGCCCAAGGAAGGAACACATTTAAAAGAGCCCTCCCACCCCCACCCCACGAAGCCGGAGATGCTGAGACCTCACTGGAGAGGGTGTAGCGAGGTGCTGGAAGGCAGGTGGGGAAGC